TATTGATCTGTTTAGAGTTAGGAAAGCTATTGATTATGTGGTGGTGTGAGCTTATGTAAGCATAAATTGACCTTGCAGGGTATTTTATTTGTGTTTCAACTGTGGTTCATTGCAGTACACAGATCTGTTAAGCAATACTGGTATATATGTTGCAGTGCAGCACGCTACAAATTAATCTCTTCAAGAAGGAGTGGGAGTTTCTAATCTGCAGGAATATTGAATGCACACTTTTCAGAAGAGAGATTAAAGTGGAGAAAGGGTAATAGAGGTCGAGTGGAACAAAAACCAAAAGAGGAAATTACAGGACTAAGAAAATGGGTTGATCCTTTAACTATTCTTTTCAAGGCTCAGGGTTCTTTTTAAAAGTCTTAATGTTTTCTTTTTTTAAAAAAAAGAAAATTCTATTTTGGTAGGGTGGAGTAACGTGTCAGCTAAACTGCAGTGTAACATCAGGGGGTTTAAAACTGTATTTTACACCTAGGAATTTCCTTTTCCCTTTATTATCAAATGCAAATAAAGCTTGTCAGGACTGGTATTTCCACGGGCAGGGGCCTCAGTATCCATGGGTCACACGGGGCTATCCCAGTGTGATACTGCTCCTGAAGAACTGTTGCATTGCTTCACCAGGCTCCAAGCTCAGTGAGATAGCCCAGAAATACAATGCTCAGAGGCTTCTCTGAAACACAGCATCTGCTCAGCCTTTCTCCATATCCTCCCTCTTCTCCTCCCCCAGTAATTTTGAGGGTTGTTTTAGCTATTTGTTAGCTCCCAGCAAAAACAGGAGTTGCAACTATTTGGAAAACCTGCAGATTATTTGCCACCATGGGTGTACAGTCCAAATGAGAATAAATCAAGCTTATAAGTCTGTAAAGCAAAGAGATGTGGAGGTGTAAAAAACAATTACAGCTTGCACACAATTGGGCTCTGTAATTTGTTGTACTAATGAAACATTTCTTTTAAGTGGAAAACCTTTGAAGAATACCAATATAATAATTAATATTCAGGTTACCTAGGGAACCTGAGAATCTACTGACTGTAGCTAGAAGAGCCTTTGTAGACGAAGCTACCCAGCATGATTTTTTTCTGGAGCTTTAAGAATTACATTTCCGGGCAGCTGAGAGATTATTTCCCTTCCCATTCCAAGTTTGTACCAATCTTCTCTTATAACCAAGAAATCTGAGGGTTTGCTTTGTCTAAAACAAGTGGCACCTGATGTAAAACTGAAAAGGGAGGAAGAATTCAGGTGGGCTTAGAAATGAAGGGATAATGTGGAGATGCTAGATGACTATAGAGCCATCAAGAACAAGGGAAATTAAAAAATAAACAAACAAACCAACAACCCACAAGAGAAGCATGGCTGAATTTCACAAAGGAAAAGTCGATATAAAAAAATACTTAAATAGTTCTCTATATGTCAGTAGCAGTAACGGTTGCAGAGACTTTCTCTAAATCACAGTTAGTAGGATGCCATTTACACCACTCCTGGTGTAGGAACGTTACCTTTGCTAGCACCTACTGTGAAGTTAGATAAAAACTCTAGCAATGGCTGACAAACACTAATGTGGGGCACAGTAAATCTTAACTAGATTGCAAGAGCAATGAACTAAGTGCTTGCACTTGCTCCTGAGGGCAGCCTAAATCTGGCAGTACCGATGTCAGTATTACAGATACTGAAATAAGTGAAGGGTCGGGAGACTGGATCCCTGACAGGGGCTGGACACAAATCAACCAGACAAGAGTAACTGTGGATAAGGGAGGTATTAAAGAGAACATCATGCCTTGTACTTGCCTCACGATTCTTCTTGATTCTGAGAAACATGACATAGCTGTCAAGAACCACTGCCCAGTGACAGACAGCAACCTAGCCAAGTGCATGTGAGCTTGCACAGCAAAGCAGGTTCAGAGGAAGCCATTTGGAAAAGGAAACAAGCAGCTCTCTGACAACAAACGGACACAGTTTGCACAGCTGCAAGGCAAAGCTGAGCTAGGTAGTAATGGGTCAACCTGGAACCCTGCCCTCTGCTTTTTGTACAGTGGGTTGGCAAAACCACTGTGGTTTGTGCCACGTGTGGCTGTCAGCTCTACCCCTTTTGCCAAATACAAAGACAAGTATTTCTTTCCTGCATTGCACTTCTAATTCATATTCTTTTATTTGGCCTGGATCTGCTGGGAGTGCAGCTTACAAAGAGAATTGATGTGTACTCATTGGCACACAGTGCTGTCTTCTAGGAACATAAGAGTTACTGGCTCAGATCACATATTCATTCACCCCACTATCAGTATGCTGGTAGCCAACAGTAAAAGCTGCAAAGGAAAACACAAGAAAGCTTCTTTGAGAAATTCACTACCACACGGGAAGCTGCTTTTGAACCGTCTTAATCAGAGGTTAGTTTATGCCCTGAAGTATAAGACATTAAATCCCTTATAAATATGCATGCCTCTTCTTCAGAACGTCAGGATAATACAGAGATGTCATACAATTGACACCACGCCTGACGAGCATGTAAGTGTTCACTCCATTTAACAGAAGAGCGAACAGGGAAAGAAGTCAAGCAGCTTCTCTGCAGTGTAGTCAGCAGGCAAACTTCTGGTGGCACTGGCAGGTGAAATAAAATATGACACAGGCAGCTTCAAGCTCTTCTGAAGGTGGCTAGCTGTGTTACCCAACTCCTGCTGCACAGCCCCTCTGAGATTAATTTCCTCTTCTGCAAAATGGGTGTGTTTATCTACCTACTTAATGAGATTTTTAGAACTGAATAATATTTGTATTACACAGTTATTATGCATTACTGACACTAGGCAAAGCTAGTAAAGAGGAAGAGATGTACTGCCAAGGGATTATTAATTCATTTATTTCACCACGTTTCTAGAAGCTTTGTTCCCCATAGAGCCCTGCCAATGCATCGTTTCTCAGCTAGAGCATCCTTGCAAAGCTAGTACCAGGCTCTTGTGCTTACGTCTGATAAACACGTTTGGGAGTACTGTAAGCATGGGGTGTATACAGATTTAGTCGGTAAATTTTAAACTGAATTTGGTTTTCTCTTTTTTTAATCCTTTTTTTTTAATCCTCTACTGACTAACTGCTAAGAGCCTTCAAAGTTTCCAGTATGGCATGGGAGCAAGGATAACAGAGAGAAAAGGAGTTTGAGGGAATAGAAAAAGACAGGAAAGACTTCCCAAAAGCACATATCTTTTGTAAAATAATCATCCACAATGCCCTAAATTGAAGTACTGGTCTTTGGTCATATCAATGGAATTTTTTGATGATGTTGTAACAGACCAGATTTCATAGGGACAGAACACCGTGCAGTGCTGTCATCAGAACTGCAGCACGGGTTGTACACATGTGAACTAGCTAACACTCTAGCTAGTCTGGATGTTAAGAAGCAGTGAAACTGTAACTGTACAGCCCCTGAACATCGATTAAGCAACAAGAGTCTGCCCAGCCTGTGGTGAACCATGGGTTTCCAAGGATTTTTTTCACTTGGTATTCAAGCTAAGTTAAATCTAGCAAGCTCACCTCAATGTACATACAGCCCGCATTTTTTAAGTGCCCTAGTGCACCCCAGTTTTCACCTCTGAATATTTCCAGTCTGATCACTGGTTGTATAACCCACCTTGACTACTTAGGACCCACACACTCCTTGCTAAAGACAGCAAGAGGAATAGTAAGTACCTGGTACTTAAAGTCCAACAGTCTCATATGTCGGTTTAGATAGAGGGTGTCATGTTTGATTCCCATAGGCCTGGAAGATGTAGGAGAAGTTGGCCCAGTGGAAGGGAGATTGCAGAAGCAATAAATGTCAAGCAAGAAAAAGTCAAGCTGGAACAAGGAATGGTTACTCTGCCACTGACTCACATACCTAGCACAGCAAATTGCTGGCAGGTGGTGGCTGGCCTGTTCGGAAGGAAGAGAAGCTAAATAAAGACTGGAAAACAGAAACCCTAAATGTGTAAGGGTGAAGAGCAGCTTCACTTCTTGTCAACTCTGTACAAGAAGCCTGTCCTGAGACAGAATGGGCTGCTTCCACAGCTCCTCGTCATGCTCTGATCTCTATGTACAGCTAAAGCCTGCCTGAGTTAACTGAAAGTTTCTTAAACCTTAACTCCCAGAGCTCAGGTAGGAGAATACAGAAACACCGTTAGTTAATTATGATACTTAGCTAACACAGCAATTTATGTTGCACAAAAAGCTTTACTGCCCCTCAAACTACTTCTTCCAAAAGTATCATGCTGAGCATGTAGATATTAGATAATCTCTTATGTGGATTTTCAATGCTAGTTAACTCCAAAGAGCTGGAAGGTAGGTCAGTTTATTTATTTTTAACGATCATGACAGAATCTTTAATTCTGATCCATGTAATAATATAATTCAAGACAGTACTTCCCCCTGGAGAAAACAGGGTTGGCACAGTGAAGCTATTCTCTAAACCCTGCATGGTGAATTTTGAAATGAGAGTTGAAGCTTTTCAGGGATCCCTGTCCCTGCCAAGCATGCACTTAGGTGCCATCCTGAACAAGGACAGACATAATCACGTGCTTCCATGCCCAGGGGCCATGACATGCAGCGTCAAACCTCATGAGTGCCTAGGGCACTTCTGTGACAGAAGCAATTGTCCTGGGGTAAGAAGTACACTGCTTCATCACCAGAGTGCCAGTTCAGATGGACAAAATCACATCACTGATTTATTTTTTTAATACTGTAGGCTTCATGTCAGGAATATTTTAATCCATTCTATTCAAGTTAGTTAAGTATTCATTATAGTGGAGATAGGTGAAATTACTTCATTTGTGTAGTTCTTTTATCCTACTCCATTTGCACAGTTCAATTCAAATAAATAAGGAGGACCCCAGCATCAAAAGATTAATAGAAATGTATAGCTATGAGTGCAGCCTAAAATCAATACAAAATTATCTTTTCAAAAGGGAAGATTTCAACTTATGGCTTCTTAGTCAAATCTAGGGTAAACAGTTTTTCTAAATGAGATAATGAAAATTACCTGAATTTTGTAGATTCTTCTGTTCTCCTTATCCAGGTGCAGTTCTGCAGTTTGGTGACTATGTGGAGATAATAATCTTCTGAATATCTAAAAAAGGCAACACATCAAACACTAGAATATATATGTATGTATATTTAGAAACAATCTCTAAAACATTCAAATGAAGCATGTATTAATAATAATGTGCATGGTGCATATCTAATAGATTGCTTTTAGAACTCCACGACCTATTTTTTTTTTTTTAATTTGTAACAGTACTATTCTCATTTAATTAGCATGACCTATTAAACATTGCTTCTTAATAGTCATGTCCTAATGAACTTTTCAGAAACTTTCAAAAGTACACTGGTTTCAAACTTCAGTATTTGACCAGAAATATCTTGAAGTTATTAGGAATCATCTCAAGTGCAAAAGGTCAAATTAAAACCTCTTCCTTGTGCTTGGTGTTTTAAACTTCAAAAATGGTTTGAGATGTGGCTCTTGCAAGTCACGATGAAACATTACACTTCTTACGCTTTTTCTTTCATTTACCTTAGGGTCCCCAAAGCTCAATTCAATCATCTAAGACCATAGTCCAACATTTACAGATGTAAGTTTTCCTCCAGATTATCTCTTAAATAAAACAATCTGTTGTTTTACATCAACCAGCACTGTGGTTACACTGGTACCTGTAACCAAAGAGCTTTCTGATCTTTTTAAACCCTTTCAAGAGATTTAAATTTGTCTATACATGAAACACTTCAGAATATGTAATTCAAACGAATGAAGACATTTCTTCCCTTATAGGTTCAATGTTAATACTTCTCTCATTTGTGCTTGGATCCTAATATAGTTTTGGGGGTTTTTTGTTTGGGTTTTTGTTTGTTTGGTTGGTTGGTTTTTTAACAATTAACTCCGACTTACAAGGAGGACTAGGGGAATGGGAAAAAGTTATGATACAGATGCCATGTCTACAAATTCTATGGGAGTCATGTCTCCAGAAAAAAATCTACCTTGTATTATTTTGGCAAAAATGGCTTAATGTTGGCCTAAAACCAACTGATCATGAGTTTATTTAAGGTGGAATTTAGAAGTGTGTATTTTAAATAGTTTTACAAGAGTTGGGATGGCAAGAAACCTCACCTGTTTTTAAATGGGGAATGATAATTGATAAAAAGGAATATTAAAAAAAGGCTGTGGTGGCTTTCAGCAGCAGAGGTCAACAACCCAAAACCCAACCATCCTCCTCTCTCTATGTTCAACATGCTTTTAGTACCACAGTTTTACAGTAAACATCTGAAAAAAAAAATCTCATTTTTTGTTTGCTTCATAAAAGCACTGCATCTGCTAAAGTTAAATTGTTTATCTACCCCTGAGTAAAATCATGTCTCATTTCCATATGGAAAAAAAAAAAGAAATTTTTAAGAAGACTTTTGCATTAGAACTGCTCTTTGGCTTGAGTCTGCACCTGTGACAACATATACGGTTTTCATTCTCCAGACTCAGCAAACCCTTAAAGGAACTACCTGATTGTGACTAAACTGATTTTACTGAGCCCTTGCACAGCTCAGGAGAGCAGGATGAATGGGCAGAAGTGGGAGAAGAGTAAAACTAGTTTCAGTGTAGCTGTAGCTCATTGGATCTGGTGCAGTACATTCTTCCTCCTTCCAGTCCAACACCAAATCCGTTCTCTCCCTCGTGTCACTACTAGTACTTACTTGACTCTACCTCTGTTCTGCTTTTGCACTTGTCAAATGCCTTCATAGGCCACTTTAACTCACTACCGTGGCAAAAGCATAACCCAGAAAGAAAAAAAACACATGCATATGCATTTTCTTCTTCAGTGTGTTAAAGCAGATCGGGAAAGATTGAACACCACAGCCAGTATAAGCAAGGAGTGATGGGAGCAGAGAAACTGGAAATAAGGCCTTCCTATTTTGGCAGCTGCCTGCTGGTATGTTGTATTAGCAACCTTGGAACTGCAGCCAGACAAAATGGAACTACTTTCTTGCTGAAGCTGCCACCTAAATTGGCTCACTGTGGGGTCAGACAAGTGTCAGTACCAGCACAGGGCAGGACAGGGAGTGCGTGTGAGGGGAGGATGGTATAGAAGCACAGGACCGAAATAGCCTATGCTGATGTTGAATCCCTCATCTAGTTTTATTCTTTAAGGCCAAACAATAAATAACTCTCAGATGCTGGGACTTAGGGAAAAAATCCAAAAATTAATAGCATAACAGGCCATGAAGAGTTACTTAGGCTATCATTATCTAGCAGAAAAAAATAGAGAAAAAGCAAATTCCAGCCTAAAGACATTGATAAGATGAAGATCAGAGTCAGAAATGAAAAAAAAATTACCATCAGCTCAGAAAGAAATTGCATGGACCAACAAGTTATTAGCAAGCTACAGGGAAACATGTGGTACGGAGAAAAATCAAAGCATCATCCGTAACCCTAGTTCTGAGGCCTCACGAGAAACATTGGCACTCACTGTCAGAAACTGTAAGGACCTTCTTACACATGTAACAGAAGCTGTACCTAGGGTAAAAACACCAATTACAATGCAAGAACACTGCTGCCTTTCCCCTGCTGTCACTGGATGGAGTCATTCTTGATCAGAGTCATCTAAGCTCACCAGCTCACCCACAAAAGCATCACTTACAGGTCTCTACAAGGCAGAACAACACCTCTGCTTGCCCTGTGCAGGCAGTTTTGCTCCTCTTGTGACTTACAAAGACACTACGGTCTGTCAGAACTCATCTTTGCCAGACAGTGCTGGGGCAGAGACATCCCAGGAGCATGTCCGGGGGAACAGGAGCTCCTGGCTGCGACAGCTCTGCAAGGCGGCCGCCACATCTGCTCTGTATCATTTCATGGCTCTGCTGTAACCCAGACAGTCCTCTTCTCCACTGTTCCATTTTAAAGAGCTGGGACAATACATATGTTTCCACTGGCACCCAGGGGCTTACAACATATATTCACTGATGCTAAAAGGGTTCTATTATTGAGATTAAAAAAGCTCAGGTAAATTGAACTATAAAAATACGTGGACAAGAGAATAATTACAGTGCTGAGAATACTGAATGAAACATGTTTCGGCCTGTTTGTCTGCCACCTTTACCACAACCATTATAGTAACTTGCTGTTGTACTAAACTCACTTATACTGCATGAGTCTTGCTGACAAACAACACCTGGAAGGGGTTTTTTTGCCTGCAGTACTTGCCAGGTATGCAGTGACCTTCTACATTAACTGCAGTGGCTAAGGTGGAATTATTATGCACAGTTGAGGCACTGACAAAGTATAAGTACCTTCTAATTTTTGGCAGATATCTAAAGGACAACAGCAAGGATGTAAGTCTTGAGATACTAGGGAGACAATAGGTAAAATGCCAGAACAGAGAGACAGATGCAGCCCCACTGGTGACTTGCTAAAACTTTACACCTACTTGGAAAAAAAAGTTGTTTGAATTAGAAAGAAAATTGAGCAGCAGGAGAGAGAAAAAGGAGATGTTTCTACTTGGAAGCTTATATTCACGAAAGAAACAAATAAAAAGAAAAACCATGGCAGGAAACCCAAGAGAAAAGGAGGATTCCTTTTGGCTTTGGAAGCTTTAGTACTACCAAAACAATGATCAGTTTTTAAAGCCCTCAGGAGACTGTGCACAGGGCCTGCTCTAGAATAAAAATGGAAAACTGCCAACAAAACTCAGCATTTCAGGCTCTTTATCACCACCAGACCGTACCTGCTATAATAATAACTTCCCACTTACATAGCATTTTTTACTACCAAATCATTTGACAAGCTTTAAACTAGTCATTTTTGTCCCTTTCTGCCAACTTAAGAGGCAAGTGTCCAGAATGTCCCTGAAAGTCTAGAACTGTAAAATAAAGCATTTATATACCATGCCTGTGGGTCACACCTTGAAAAAGCAACAAAGATCCCTGCAGCTCCTCCCTGTGAAGGGTGAGTTGGAATATTCGTGGCACAAAGCAATCCCTCGCTCCTTTGCTCCAAGCAGTCAGTTTCTCTTCCTACCTGTCCAATTCATCTTCTGCCTCGTTAAATGGTGCATTTCCTTTCTCTTTAGGCACAGAATAAAGGCCTCACCCTTTGTAAAGTTTCTCCTACAGTCTCAGCTCCAACACCTTCTAGGCATAGAAAGCACACCTGCATTGCTGCACCCTGTACAGCGTTGTAACATGCAGGATAAATGACACCATTTATATTGCTGTAACTGGATTTTGGAGGCAACAGTGACCAGTTGTCCTTCTCTTGATGTTAATCACTCGGTTTTTCAGACAACTGTATTCTTCGACCTCTGTGTGCCAGCCTCTGTCTCAGCAGTCACTAGCAGCATATCGGTAACATGGCGAGGGGTCTACATCCTTTCAAAAGAGTAAAAACTTCAATGATCGTGTTGCTGATGAGGTGGAATATTGGTGGGAGAAGAGGTTATAGAGGAGAGAAAAAGCATTAAGAGAGTAAAGACAGAATGCTGGGAATATGGTGACTTAAAACCAGCTGAAAGATCTTAAAATGCAATGAGAAGGTGAGGAAGGGGCAGAAAAGACAACAGAAGCTGTAAAATCATATTTAGTTTTGTTTCTGTATTAAGGAAAAAATTGGCTTCTCCAGTTCTTTGAATGGGGAAAGGCACATAATTATTTTTAGCAGAGCTTTTCTTTCTCATTCTGTTTCTCTTCTCTTCACAAACGGAGGGGGAAAAAAAAAGCTTCCAAGTTTAAAGACACCATGGCACATAATTAATTTTAAGCTGGAACTCGATCCTAATGGGAAGCTTTTCTTACTTACGTTTTATTTATTGGTGTATCCCTATAGGCAAAATGTTACCTCTCAAAAGCAATGGACTGCTGCTCCCATTTTCACTGTAGAGTGGCATGGAATTTGAGCATGGCTGATATCAAAGATTTTTTTTCCATGTCAGGAAAAGGCAGAACAGCAAGTTCAAACCCCAAAATCATTTGGGGTGTTTCCTCAATGTATCTAAAATTGAATTATAAGTTTCCTGTGGACTTACTATTATAATGAGTGCAGTTAATTAGCAAGTTCTCATGCTAGTACATTTCCATACTCTAATCTAGTGAACATGCTGAAAAGAATGAGTACCTGAGGTTACTCATAGCAGGAGTGGTCACCAATCAGGAAAAATACACTCAAGAATGAAATTATACCTCACAGATTCTGTTCAACCTTTTCATGAATATCCTGGAATAAAATGTTGCTAACTGGCCAAGAAAAATCTTGTTGACTTGCATTGTGAAAATAAAAAAAAAATAAATAAAATTCCATCTCAAATCTAATACATGTGAAAGAAAAAATGCAGGCAAACACTGGCAATTTCAGTTTCCTGTTTTACAGCTCTACATCAGTATCATCAAGAATTATGTAAAAGAGGACAATCTTTTACCGTTCTATTTAAAACAAACAAAGCAGAAAGCACAGCAAACACCTACCTTTTCTTCTTGATAGATGATGACAAAATGTTATCCTGAATTGCCTTACATTTTGAAGCCTGTTCAAACTGGTTAATTCCATTTTTATTAACAGTTGTTCTGTTAAAAGAAGGTGGGGGGGAGGGAGAGAAAGCAACAAACTTTTAAAGAGAGAACATTCTGACGATGCTGTCACGTTTAATTTGCTATGACAATAAGATTAATAACTGTGGATTTAGCTGAACACATTACCAAAGAAATCTTATTGACTTTTATTGTGAAGATCTTGTATAAAAGGGGAGTTTGCTGCTAGTGACTATAAAATATTTGATTCTTTAAAGTAACCCTGTTTCATAGTCTGAATGATATTTTCTGCTTTACACTGTAATCAGAGAATATAAATTTAAAAAAAAGAAATTAAATGGGAATTAACATTATGTTTTGAAGGTATTTAAAATATTCACCAGTAAAATATTTAGCAGATTTGATTTCCTACTGTTGTTGATAAGATGCAATATTCAGAGACAATATGATACGTGCAGGAAACACCACAGGTTACGTGGATCTTCCTATTTGGACCTTAACTTACTGATCTGAGCTTAATACTTCCTCCCTTGTTTATTCTTTATTTATACAGTGAGAATAAACATTTGTAAAAGGAACCAAGGCAAGTGCGAGACAGTGATCTTTAACGGCCGCTGTCTTACTTTCACCAAACTCCTGCGTGGCCTTCTCACTCTGGCAGTGCCAGCAGAAGATTGAGCTGTAAATTAGTAAATGAGTGAGATACCAAGGTCTTATTCCATTCACCTCAGTTCACCCTGTATCTAGGTTCAGCCTCATACAATCACCCTCTTCCATCAGCTGTGCATATTGTCATTTATCATGAAGTTGTTTTCCTCCAGCATTTTTATTTTCCTTGCTCCTCAACATCTTCCCCTCTCCCCCCCTTCCCTACTCCTTTTGGGTTCTTTCCACAGATTCACTACTTACGGAGCGCTTTGACTCTGCAACCTACCTGTCCACACCAGAACCAGAAATACAGAAGACACAGGCTGTGTCATTCACTCCTGGGTGTGAGCTGCAGCAAGTGAACAGAACCCGTGTTGTTCTTCGAAACGCACAACGGAGCCATCTCTGTGCAGAGGCACTCCTACACAAAGAGGGAGGGTCTTCCCGCTTTGTACACAACGCGCTCTGCTTCTGAACCATCACTCCTTTTACTAACAAGGACCAAAACTCCATTGCCTTCACTGCTAAAACACAGAGACCACTTGTCAACAAGATTTCTGACAAGCTGATTTTGAAGCTCCTACTTGGGGAAGATGCCATTTCATGTCACAGAATCACGGAAGGGTTGGGGTTGGAAGGCGCCTCTGGAGGTCACCTGGTCCAACCCCTGCTCAAGCTGGGCCATCTAGAGCCAGTGGTCCAGGACTGCATTCAGATGGATTTTGAGTATCTCCAAGAATGGAGATTCCACAACCTCCCTGGACAACCTGTGCCACTGCACAGTCACCCTCACAATGAAAGTCTTTCCTGATGTTCAGAAGGAACCTCGTGTGTCCATTTGTGCCCATTGCCCCTGGTCCTGTCACTGGGCACCACTAAGAAGCACCTGGCTCCGTCCTCTTTGCACCCCCCCTTCAGGTATTGATAAGGTCCCCCTGAGCCTTCTTGTTAACTAAAATGTGAAACAATTCAAATGAGAAGGCGACTGACTGAGGAAAAAAGAGCAGAATAAATGCTTGTTTATTCTGCCACTGAACTGACTGGCGTATTCCTAGCTATGACAGGGGAGGAAAAGGAACCAAGTGCCTTTCCTTCTCTTTCCATTGCCCATGATTTTTCTAGTGAATCAGTCTCTCCATAGGAACAATTCACCCAGGATGTAGGCTGCAGAGGATAGATTCCACCATGGGGAACTTCTGGGTATGCACTCAGTGCCCCTGAGGAAGTACGTAGTCTGCATGCCCCTTGTTGAGGGCAGTGGCAAGACAACTCAACGTCAACCTCTGTCCTTTCAGTTCTGCGTGGAGATTCCACAACCTCCCTGGACAACCTGTGCCACTGCACAGTCACCCTCACAATGAAAGTCTTTCCTGATGTTCAGAAGGAACCTCGTGTGTCCATTTGTACCCATTGCCCCTGGTTCTGTCACTGGGCACCACTAAGAAGCACCTGGCTCCGTCCTCTTTGCACCCTCCCTTCAGGTATTGATAAGGTCCCCCTGAGCCTTCTTGTTAACTAAAATGTGAAACAATTCAAATGAGAAGGCGACTGACTGAGGAAAAAAGAGCAGAATAAATGCTTGTTTATTCTGCCACTGAACTGACTGGCGTATTCCTAGCTATGACAGGGGAGGAAAAGGAACCAAGTGCCTTTCCTTCTCTTTCCATTGCCCATGATTTTTCTAGTGAATCAGTCTCTCCATAGGAACAATTCACCCAGGATGTAGGCTGCAGAGGATAGATTCCACCATGGGGAACTTCTGGGTATGCACTCAGTGCCCCTGAGGAAGTACGTAGTCTGCATGCCCCTTGTTGAGGGCAGTGGCAAGACAACTCAACGTCAACCTCTGTCCTTTCAGTTCTGCAGTGACTTTAATAGACAGTGACAACTGGCACTACGTACCGAGAGCTCCTCAGCCGATCTTGCATACAGCTCCTTATCTGACTCTTTTTTCAAGGAGCAACACACAAATGCGAGGGCAGAAGGCTCTCAGAGCACACAGTTCAGCAGATCTCACACAGTAAGTGCCAGCAAATGTTCTGCCTACACCATCTGCACGCAGGTTTACTGCGGCTTGGTCTGAATGGTTCCGTCTGCAGCGAAGAACCAGGTGGGCCCTTTCAGCAAAGAACCCAACACTGGTTCCCAAACAGATTTAGTTAGCACGCTATCCCGTTTCCTCTCCCTTGCTTCTTTAAGTCAGTAAGCTCAAAAGATCCTTCTGCAGCTGCAGCTTCAAATAAGAGAAATGGCTACAGGCAAAGCTTAGCTGCATAAACAGCGCCTTAGAAAAAGAATTATTGATATCGTAAGCCAAGTGCATGTTAGTGCTGCAAACAACTGTTTTATTACAACTGAAAGCCCAGATGCTGGATGCTGATTTGAGAAGTGGCCCGGCCCTTCCCAGCCACAGCTGGCCAGCGGAGACCTTTAACTCCCAAAGCCTGCCAGGAAAAGCAAGTCAGAGCAGGCGGTTAGGTTTGATCAGCCCGCTGCAAGGTGCATCGGCAGGCATCGTCGGAGAACCAGCGTTCTTACAACTCCGTGCAGAGAATCATTACAAGGTCCTTAGAGCTTCCTATTAATTTATGTCCCAAGATCAGTGGGGCAGTGAATGAATACACTCTCAACCACATACACGCTCCACTCAGAGTTTTAGACTTTTTAAATTCATAGCACTAGGATCAACCAAAGCCAGTTGCCTCGTTTTTTAATATGTAATTTCTTTTTATGTACACATTTTCAAGACTTGAAAATCTCAAAAAGAAAGAAGTCAGATAAAAAAGGATGAGCAAAATAAAACCCTGATTTGTTTTGTCATTAAATCCTGACAGTCCCTTTTACAGGCATCAAGGGAAGAAAAAAGGAATAAGGAATTTTTCCTTCCCTTTCCATGACACATAGGAAGATTAGGGAAAATGACCCAAGTGTGGGGAAAACCAGACACAAATTTTAATCCTCATTCTTTATCCATACAATGCAGACACAAGATAGATAACCAAAATGCTTGTTCTGTGGCTTTTTCCACACAAAACTTACTAACGCTCCCTATGTGGTGCAAAAAGATACAAAAATAAAACACTTTATTTGCAAGACATGCAAAACAATGACTCATTCTAGTAAAAGTTAAATTTCTGTTTAGGAATCAGATTGGCCTCTGTTTCACGTGAGTGAAACATTTTTGCATTCAGACAAAAGGGGTGTGCAAGGGGCAGTCCAGACTTCTGCATTATTCATTGCAGAGCTGTGCAGCCATCAGACTCAGATTAGATTTCTGATCTCTTAGGACAATTACGCTAGGTAACATTTATCACTAAATGAATTTACCTGACCTAGCGGATGACCGTCTTTGTTCACAACTTAGAACTGCACTAAAACTTCTCCAGTGAAATCAGGTAACATGCCTCACAACGCAGATACCAGGTTACATTCAACTCATTTTGCAAACTCTTAAACTACATGAGAACTGCAAGTGGAAACCATATTATATTCTGTTGTCTTGAACTCATAAAACTGATGAAACAGGGAAATTTCTGCTGCACTTCCCTTAGGGTTTAGATGTTTTCAAAGCCAACCTCACTGGCCAAAATCTGAAAAAGAGGAGGTTTTTTTAATCATATACGAACAGCTTGAGGACTGCATACTTCCTATGGTAATTCTAGGAACTCAGAAAGTACACCATCTGTACTTTAATAAATCTACAGTAGATTAAGACCATGTGCCATATCTATCAGCACACTGTTATTCCATATCTCGC